GCCACGAAAGAGCAATCCTGAATCAGTGATGACTTAGCACTTGCCCTTTGTTCAAGTGCGTGAACTAGGGAGAAGGTGCAAGGTAACAGTGCACCCCCCACTGACCCCCACCCCCAAAGCTCAGTCCAGGACTTGAGGAATGGATGGCCTTGCATCTTAGGCTATGATTTGTGCTACTCCAGGATATCAACCTATGCAGTTAGAAACCCAGGCAAGACTTTTCAAAAAGTGAGTCAATCAAAAACATCTTTTAGGAAAAACTATTTGGTAGTAAATATTAAAGCTATTATATGACATAATAATTTCATTACTGGGTATTACCCAATAGAAATGCTTAAATTTATGCACCAAAAGACATGTACAAGAATATTTATAATAGCATTATTCAAAATAGCCCCAAACTGAAAACTACTCACAGCCCATGAACATGGATTATATATTGGGGTACAACTACTCACAGCTCATGAACATGGATTATATATTGGGGTACAGTCACACAGTAGAATATTCTACAGCATCAAGAATGAACAAACAAGAACTGCATGCTATAATATGGATGGAATTCACAAACATAATACTGAGTGAAAAAGTCTAGACACAGAAACTCTATGATTCTCTTTACATAATTTTCAAAGAAAAGCAAAACCGTGTTAGAAATCAGCTCAGGATGACCCTTGGGGTGGACAGATTTATCACAAAACCGATTATACCACTAACAGTTAAATCAATTCTATTATTCTCTATTGATTGTTTTGATGGTCAGGAGAGAGGTTTAGAAGGGAACTGGTAGATCCAGTTCATTTGAACAAGGCTTTGTTGAGAGCTCCCCATGGGCCAGGTGCTGCCCTAGAGGGAAAGGTACATGATGAACTAGAATTTCTGCCTTCAAGAGTCACAGGCCAATAGCTGGACTCTCACTCTAGAGAGAGCCCTCTTCTCTTCACGGCCATGTGCACACTCTGTTGAATGGCTGGTTCTCAACCCATCCAAGAATCCTTTCTAGACTTTTCTAGAGTGGACTGGAAAGTCAAAGATACTCTCACTCTGTTGATTCTGGGAGATCTCCCCAGACCCCAATACCTAGGTCCACCCACTAGCTCAACTATGAATACAGTTCCAGCCCGAGCTCCCATATCTGACTATATTTGACTTTTCTGGAACAAAAATGTTGAACACATATCTAGGCTGAATCCCACCTAAACAAACAATGCCTCCCTCTATCTCCAGGAGAGGACTGGTTCTAAGCTGAGCAGACTGCTTCCTCCAGTGTCATCAGCAGCTTCAATTAGTGATTTTAGTTGCCCAGAGGCCAGAAAACTGCTCAAACCAGAGTGATTTCTAGCTTTCTCATCTAAGCGAGGGCCCCTCCAGCCCCCAGCCCCACAATGATAAGTATTATGTGAGGGACCATTTCGCTCTCAACTTCTCATCATTGTCATCTTCACATATGATTTCACAGAGGAAGTCAAACCAGCCTCACTGCCCATTAACACTCAAAGAGCAACCTTTCTCCTAGAATATTAGGATCCTACAAGGCCCAGGCCACCTCCAGACCCCTTCCAAAATTGAGGAGGCTCAGAAGACTCTTGGCAGGGTCTGAGCTCTAGGAAATGACAATACCTGGCAGTATCAGTAACTCCAACAAATTACCATTTAATAGAAATCAGAGCTGACAGGGCCTCAGGGATCACTTAGGCCACCACCACCATCCTCCCTTATTTACTGAGAAGACTGAGCCCAAAGGCCTGAAGTCCATCCCTTCAGATCACACTGGTAAGCAATAGCGAAGCTGAGAACAAAAGTATCATCTCCAGATACCAGGGCTCTTTCCAGAAGTACTCTGACCTGCAAAGTTCAAACCAGGAGCAGCAACTGCTTTTCTCACCTCCTGAACCCAGATTCTGCAGAGCCCCCTGGGAGCTCTGGGCTGCATTGGACACACCCTCAGAGCTAAAGAAATTTACCTGCACAGGTGATCTTGCTTCTTTAAGCAACTGGACAGTCTCTAGTCGCAATGCAGTCAAAAGCACACTGCCCCAGACTACCCTTATATATATGGTCCTTCTATGCACAAGGGCTTGGTCAAGAGTCTGAGTTCCAGCCTCCAGAGCTTTGGTTCCTTCCTATTGTGTGTTCTCTGGAAGGGAGGGGAGCCTTGGGGCTTTGTGATGGCATCATACAAATCTAATGATTTCCTTAGAATAATCGCCAAACAGAGCTTGTGCCAGTAATGCCTTAACAAAAAAGAGTTAGTCATCTTCAGCTTTCTGTTATGACATTCTATGACTCCGGTTGGGACCTGCCTTGAGCAAACATTTGAAGGTCCAGTTTGTCTCTGGCTTCTTGACCCACTTCCAGGACGGACAGGTGTCCCACTTCCTGGTACATAACTTTCAGAGTCCAAGTGCCCTACTTAAGCCTGCCTTCCCCACAAACCTAGGCCACTCACTAAATATCTCCTTTCTTTTCCTCCAATCACAATTCTCATTCCTCAGGGCACTGAAAAGCAATTTGAACTAATTCTCAAGGATGTGTGATTTGCTCACAAATCCCTAACCTTAGCATAAGTATTTGCACCTTTTAAAATAAGACTCACCCAAATGAATCCCTGATTACTGAAATTTCAGGCAGTGAAACGATAAGTGAAAAAGTCCAGTTGAGAAATACTTTAGGTGCCCAGTATATTAAGTAATAACTGCTCACAAGTGTCCATTTACGCTCACATGGGTCCTCTGTGTTATTTCATTAGACTCACAATAAAAATAAACTAAAACTGTTATGTGTCCAACCCAACTGTAAATGGGGAAAACTACTGAAATACTGTGGGTAAGCTCTGAATACTTCATGCATTGATTCCATGTTTTGCAGATACAAGACTAAACAAGAAAATCATTAGATATTATAGCTCTGGCAAGGGTTACCTCTGGCCACTCTACAGGTAGGGATTTGTAGTCCTGGTGGCTATGGCAGCACCGAAGCTCATAACATCTATTGGCAGGTTCTACTCTTCTCTGATGTTTTGTACCCACTTGATTTTTGTTCAGTTGACTGTATGTTTTCAAAACTAGGATTCAACAAGGTAAAGAGAAGGGATTTGATTTGTGAATGGGAGAAAGGATAACCAAGTTCAGCTGAATGAAAGAAAAAATTGATGGTTCCATATATAACTTTCGAGCATTAAAAATTGATCCTCAAACCAAGATAATAAAAAAAGGCTTTGTGGGCTAGCTCATAATAAAAGTCGCTTCCAAGGTTCCAAAGTAAATTCTAAGACCTAAGTTATTAATTCCTTCACATTCAAAATATTTTCTCAGTGTTATGAGAAAAATAATCGTTAAGAAATTCACTATGGCCCTAGCTGGTTTGGCTCAGTGGATAAAGCTTCGGCCTGCGGACTGAAGGTCCCAAGTTCGATTCAGGTCAAGGGCACATGCCTGGGTTGTGGGCTCGATCCCCAGAAGGGGGCATGCAGGAGGCAGCCAATCAATGATTCTCACTCATCATTGATGCTTCTCTCTCTCTCTCTTTCTCTCTCTCTCTCTCTCTCTCTCTCTCTCTCTCTCTCCCTCTCCCTTCCTCTCTGAAGTCAATAAAAATATATTTAAAAAAGAAAGAAATTCACTATGAAGTTTGGAACTATAAACAGAGAAGCAATTTTTTTCCACAGGAGGATGTTTTCCTGTTATCAGAGAGCTAATTAGAATTCAAGGACATTTATTTCTAACCCATAACCCAAGTGAACTCATATTGACACACTATGTTATATCTGAGAAGGGCTCAGGGATTCACTGGAAGTCACACCGACCATGAACACAGGGCAGGCCTCAGGACACGGTGGTCTGGGTGAATGTGAAAAATGCAGAAAATACACCAAGATCAAGCTTCAGGCAGGCATGCAGGCAGCATCAGAGAAGGTCCAAAACCACATATCTGGATTCCTGGAAAAGTGGAAGAGGTAGGGCTGACCTCAGCCTCATAGAAACGGGGGTCCTAGACAAGGAGCCCGTAGAGGTGTTAGGATGCAAGGCAATTGCTTGGTCATAGAAAACCAAACAAGTAAAGAGCAAACTTATCGAAACAGACGTCAAGGGCTCATAAACTACTTAAACTGGGTCCTGGATATTTCCCCAGACTTGCTCCCTAAATCTTGGTTGGAGAAAGTTGAATGGAAGCAGAGCAGGGGCTCCCTCCATCATCCTCCCTCCTGGTTGTTGTCTTCTCTGGTCTCTTGGCCAGGGGAGCAGGTTTGTACAGCACTTGGAGTTCTGCTGAGGCAATCCCTGGGACACACTTACACATCACAGGTGCATAACACGTCAGTTAGGGGAGTGGTACATTTTGGTATTTCTCTAGCAGGTACATGAAATGTCCATTAATCTGGCACTCTCATCACCCCTTTTTTAACCTCCTTTCTCCCATGATCATTGGAAAGTATCTGATCACCGCATATATGAAAAGATTAGTAACAGTTTAATTGTCAAGTGCCATTGATTCAATTACAAAATATGGACCTGGAAGCATAGAATTTCATTGATTAACAATAAGCCACAGAGTTGGGTGGGGGAGATCCTTCTGGCAGGATGAGCCTTCTGGTATGCCCAGAAATCACATAATTATGAAGTTATGGACTATTCCCTCACACAAAGACTGTCGAAAGTGAGAAAACAAAAAAAGGTCTACAGTATGGTTTGATTTTTTTGTTTCTTTTTTAGTTCCTAGTCTGGTTCCCTGACAGATAAACATGCTGTCTAGACGTTTTTTTTTTCTTTCAAAGTCTCATAGTGTACATCTCTTGTTTTTAGCCTCTATCCTTAATTGTGTTCTTGGCATTATTAAACTTGTTCAAATCGATATGCAATTCCAAAATGTATTTGTCACCATTCCTCTTCCTGACCCTTCCTTTGTCCCTGACATCATTTTCCCTGAGTGTCTTACGGTTCTACCTCTATGGATCTGTCTGTTTTGGCTTTTTTGTTGGTATGTTTACCTTGTGACCTGACCTGTCTTTCTTGGCAGAAAGTTTGCCATCATGATACTCGTGACAGGGAAAGGTGACTGCTGGGAAGAACAGCGTGGTTTCCATGTTTCCTTCTAAGAGGTGATGGCAAGATTTCTGTTAGGAAAGAAGTCCCAACAAAAAAGAAAAAAAAAAGGAAAGAACGAAAGAAAGGAAAGAAGTTCTGGTGGTAAGTAAACCATGAATAATCCCAGGGGTACAAAAATAAGAAAGCCATGGTGCCTGATACCTCAAAGATCATGCAAGGATCTGAATAGCGTCCTAAGTCAGCTTAGGATGCTGACTCCAGTAATAGCTCCCGTTCCTGAGTTGACTCATGCAAAACCATCTAACGTGATATCTCTGTCAAGGTCACAATCAAAGGAATCCCTCATATTAACAATCACATCTATCAGCCATCCTCACCTTGCATTCTCCTCACATAAGGCACTTCTCTATATCCAAATAACAACAGGCTTTCATGAGAAGTTGTGTGGGCTAAAGCTTTCAACAGGAAGATGACAGATTCATGCTGAAACATGTTTTCCTGCTACAGTTCCGTGGAAGGGCTGTGTGTGCCTTTAAAAACGTAAAAGATTGACTATCCCTTTAACTGAAAGCATAAGGTCTGACAAGCTTTGGATCTCGGCTCTCAGGAATGAAATAGCAGCTCTGAAAGCATTGGTCACCGAGAGGGCCCCATATCTGGCCTCCCAAGTGCACGGTGGGTTTTGCCTTGATCGGCCCTTTCTGGAATTGGGTGTGTTTGTGTTCTAGAAAGAGCTTACCTTTGGAGCCAGATAAACCTGAGATTTGAACCCAACTTCACCATGTATTTGTTGGAGAGTCATTAATGTACCTCCAAGGCTCTCATTTTTTAATATCTACAATATAGGAGTCATAGCTACTTCCCAAGATTAGTGGAAGGGTTCAACTATCTACATTGTAATGAATACAAAACATTTAGTCCAGTGGATGGTACATAATGAGCACTCAATACTCATTTTGTTAAAAGAATAATAATGATTATTTTATAATGATAGCCCGGAGACAGGAAGGTTTAAGATTATGCACCAGAGGATGGTAATTGAAATCTTGTACATGGATAATGTCACAGTAGATATAGGGTGAGTGAGTAATAGATTGATTGCTTTTGGCTCATTCTATATCCATAGTTTTTGCCCTTCCATGTGACAGCCCTTCGAATATAACTTTGAAGATTTTAGTTCCTTTAATTATTCACAACCCAACATAGTGACTGTTGTCCAATGCCACATCAAGCCACATCTGGGGTATATGAGTCAGTACAAGACCTTACACTTCATAAAAATGGTCGTCCATCCCCCGCTCTGCCTCATTTTTGCTACTAAGCTTCGGTTTCTCTATCTGGGAGAATAATGGCACTTTGCACTGTCGCTGTGAAAATGAACTGAGTAATCTATGTGAGAACACCCAGCGCAATGCCTCCCATATAACAAGCTCTCAGCTAGCGTTGATAGTCGTCATTTCCTATGCTGACCTCATGCAGCTGGTACCTCATAATTATTTTGGGCAACTACATCTCAGTGTCGACTCACATTGAGTTTGCTGTATATTAGATCTCATGTCTCTTTAACATGTGAATTCTGTCCCATCCTGTAAAGGAAGCAATTTTCAACTGCTGTGCCACAAGAATTTTTAAAACATGCACTACCTGACTATTTAGTCAGGGACACTGACCTCTTTTCTCTTAGATTTTCAAATTAAAACAATGACAGCAGTCAACACAACAATTCGTCCTGTGTGAATGTCCTGTCTTGAATCATAAATATGTCATGTAATAGGCTTGCATCTTATTGGTCACATCACATAATAAGGTTGCATCTGATTGGTTAATTCTTGGTACCAGAAATCCTCATATACAAGTATAGGCACCTGATTTTTTAAGAACATGATCTCACTCATATGTGGAATACATAGCTATCAACAATTACTTTAAATGAAATGGATTAAATGCTCCAACCAAAAGACATATGGAGGTTGAATGGATAACAAAACAAGACCCATACATATGCTGTCTACAAGAGACTCACTTCAGATTGAAAGACACACACAGGGATGAAGAAAGATATTTCATGAAAATGGAAATGAGAAAAAAAAGCTGAGTAGCAATACTGAGAGCAGACAAAGTAGACTTTAAAACAAAGGCTATAACAAGAGACAAGAAAGGACCCAGCAATTCCACTTCTGTGTATTTATCTGAAGAAACTCAAAACACTAAATCAAAAAGACATATACATCCATATGTTTATTGCAGCATTACTTACAATAGCCAAGATATAAAAGCAGTGTTCATAAATGGATAAAGAAGTGGTGCATATATACAAGGGAATATGATCCAGCCATCAAAATTTTTAAAAAATGAATAAAATCTTGTCATCTGCAACTACATGGATGGATCTAGAAGGTTTTGTGCTGAGTGAAATAAGACAGAAAATACCATATTATTTCATTTATATGTGAAATCTAAAAAACAAAATAAACAATCAAGCAGATACAGAGAGCATTTTGATGGTTGCCAGATGGGAGGGGCTTGGGGGAACGAGTGAAAAAGATGAAGGAATTAAGAAGTACAAATTGGTAGTTACAGAATAGTCATGGGGATGTAAAGTACTGCATAGGGAATATATATAGTCAACAAGATTGTAATAATTATATATGGTGTCAGATGGGTACTAGATTTATCAAGGTGATTACAGCAAGTGATATCCATGTCTAATCACTGGGTTGTACACCTAAAACTAATATAATATTGTATGTCAACTGTTATTGAAAAATAAAAAATATTATTTAAATATTTATCTAATTCTTTATTGCTAGTATACAGAAATGCTGCATTATTACTTTGCTCCTTTTTTTAAAAGATAGATTTCCAACTCTACAGGATTGAGAGCTCGATGTGTCAACAAGCCCTCAATAAATTAGATATTCAGGGCTGATGTTCAGTGGTGAACAATATTATGGCTGTACTTGTTACTAAAATATTGAAACATTTCTACAGTGGAACCCTCTTTCTTTCCCTCTGGTACCTTGGCCATCCTGGACTTTCCCTCCAGACTGACCCACATTTCCCCAGTTCCAGACACTAGTGATGAGGTTTAATATCTTATGTTTATAGGACATCCATGTAGCATCTTTTATAAAAGCATTTTTTTTGTCTTTGCCAATTTTTTTTCTGTTGGAATGCTTTTTCTTATTAATGTACAGGCATTAATTATATATTTCAGAAGCTCTTTTGTTGGTTTTATGCATTGCAATATGTTTTCACTCTCTTTTGTACTTCTACACCTAGCTCAGCTGGGGCCTCAAGCCCTGTTCCACTGGAAAGGTAGGTGTCTGTTATGGTTGTTCTATTCCTATCCATGTGAGTTATTAAATATTTTTAATGTTATCTCTTATGCTTATATTCCAATGCTAACATAAAACCAAGGGTAAGTTATTAATCCAAGTGGTTTCTTTTTAAAAATATTTTTATTGATTTCCTAGAGGAAGGGAAAAAGGGATAGAAACATCAATGATGAGACAGAATCATTGATGGCTACTTCCTGCATGCCCCCTACTGGGGACCAAGCCTGCAACTTGAGCATGTGCCTTGAATGGAATCAAACTTGGAACCCTTCAGTCCGTAGGCCGATGCTCCATCCACTGAACCAAACCGACTAGGGCTCCAAGTGGTTTCTTACCCAGAGGTGCAGAGAGCTCAGAAGGAGATGATCAGCTCTGGGGTTCAAGGAGGAAGCAGGAAATCTGAGCTGTAACTAAAGAGCTTCTAGCTAGCACCCATCTCTGATAATCCCTGCCCAAATCCCTTCAGCTTCCCCAAGTCTACTCCTCCACTTGGAGCTCCCACAGGCACCTCAACCACACATGCTTCAGGCTGAACACATCATCTTTAAATGCTAAATCTGTTCTCCTCCTGACTCCCCTAATTGGTGGAAGAGTGTCTCCAACCATCTCTCCCTTACAGTAGAAAATTCAGAATCATCTGAGACTCCGACTTATCCTCATTTCCTCTCTATTATTGCTTACCAAGATCTGTCATTTCTATACCATAAAAAATCTCTCTTGAATATGACCTATTCCCCAATCCCGATGACTGCTGTCTCCTAAATTTTTGAATAGTTTCCTAGCCTGTCTTTCGGCCTCCAGCCTCTTTGCTCCCCCAGTCCCTCCCCCACACTGCTACCAGCATTAGCAGTCCCACCTGGCCCATTAGCCTACTCTGTTTCTTCATCTGTGGAAGGGAGTGTGGGGGAGCCATCTGCCTTGGCATGGAGGAGGGTGAGAATGGAGCTAATACAAAGCAGATTGACTTCGAGTTGGTTTTATTATTGCATTGAAGTGCTCTATAGACAAGTCACTCCTTTTGCCTACACCTGGCCTACAACTGTTCCCACCCACCCCACCTCCCTTCTCTTTGATAATATGATCTGTCTCGCAGAGCTTCCATGAAGGTCAATGCAACCGTGCTCACTGAGAACTTAGCCCAGGCCCCTGCACAGGGTGAGCACTTAGTTAATGTTAACGATGATTAGTAAAAACATTATTTTTGGTTCCTTATCCCCTATATGATTCCTGTTTGGGCAAGCAAAGCCCTTCTGGCCTCAAATACTCCCTTCCACCCTCCTGCACCCTATACTCTAGCAAAACTGCTTATTCTGCCTTCACCAAACCAAGTTCTTCCGTGTTTCCATGCCTTTGCAAATGCCCTTTACTCTGGCTGGATGTCTTCCCTCTTCTCTGCAGATTCATCATTTAAGATCCAGGTCACAGTCATGCTTTCTGTGAAGCCTTCCTCAAATGATCCAGAGAAAAGGAATACCTCCTCCCTCCTGTGAGCCCATGGCTCGCCGCTCATTGCTCATTTCTCCTCTCTGAAGCCTGCCTGGACTGGAGCTCCCAGAAGGGAGAGTCTGTATGTGCTCATCAGCTTTGTATCCAGTCACCAAAATTGCTGAGCCCATATTACCAGCTCAGTACTGACAGGGATTTAGCTTGTTTTATTAGAATGAATGAATGAATGTGAATGGTTTTGGCTTCATCCTAGACCTAGCAAGAACTTTGGGTAGCTACAGTTTGGGTCCTTTTGTATAACCTGGTATTGGACTCTTCTTTCCATGCCCCAAGAAAAATATTCCCTACCAGGGTACCTGCCTTCTTAAGGAATGGAACTCAGGACCTAAGGAACGCCCTTTTCAAAGTAGGGAGAGTGATGAGCAGCTCAGCTCTGTCTTCGCAGCTGTCCCTGAGAGGGCGCTGTTCCCAGATGAACCCTCCGAGGCCTGGACTGAAATACCGGCGCCTTCCCACAGGATTCAGCATCCCTGGCTTCCCAGGCAGCAGCCGCGGGTCCCCAGCGGAGCATCTGCCCACAAACATGGCTGCGCCCTGCTCAGCTTCTCCTCGCCGGGACCCGCCGGCCGGGCCGGCCTTGCCAGTACTCGGGGACTTCCTCCGGGAGCCCGCTTCCTGCACCGCTGGCATTTAAACCGGCGCCTGGGGCAGCGGACGCCGAGCTGACCGCGGGCTGGAGCGCCGCCGCATCCCCCGAGCGACTGGGCTGGGCAGGAGCGCAGCCGAAGCACCCCCTAGCTATACCCGGGTCCGAGCAGGAGCGGTCTGGGGGGAGAGCCCGGACCCCGGCATCTGGCAGTTCAATTACAGGTTTGACTTTAATTTCCAAGATCGCGACCCTCCCGCCCAGCCCCGATCTTTCTTCCCTCCCTCCGGCCTTGGTCGCTGGATGAAGCTGGGGCTGGGCTTGGTCCCAGGAGCTTGGAAAGAGCGCGTTCTCCGCCCCGCGGCGTTGCTCCGGGGACCTCCGAGCCGCGCGCCCCGGTCATGGTGCGGCTGAGCCCCGCGCTTGGGTGAGGCGGCGGCGCGGTTCCGAGCCCAGCGGGCCCGCCCTGCGAGGCATTTTCCCCCGAGGAGCCAAGGGCACCGGACGCGGGGCTCCGCGCCCTCCTGCTGGGCTGCGCGCAGGGGGCGAGCAGCCGCCGCGATGTTCAGCTGGCTGGGTACCGACGACCGCCGGAGGAAGGACCCCGAGGTCTTCCAGACGGTGAGCGAGGGGCTCAAGAAACTCTACAAGAGCAAGCTGCTGCCCCTGGAAGAGCATTACCGCTTCCACGAGTTTCACTCGCCCGCCCTGGAGGATGCCGATTTTGACAACAAGCCCATGGTCTTACTGGTGGGCCAGTACTCCACTGGGAAGACCACTTTCATCAGGTGAGCCAGCCCAGGGCGCCCCCGGCAGCCCCACCCTGCCCCCAGCGCTTATGCCTTCCATTCACTCCTGGTGCCCCCTCCAGGCTGGGTACTGTCTTCTCTCCACGACTCTGAAGAAATCTTGCATGACCATGTGTCCAAAGCCTATCCCACCATTTCACTGCTGGTCCCCCACCCCCTCCTACCTAATGCCTCTCCACTGTACTTAGAGCCCTGGCTCAAGTGGTCAGTTTGAAATGTTAAAAACCAGAGCCATCTTATTCTTCCCATTTTATGGATGGTGAAAGCAAGGCCCAGGAGGCACGAGCGAGAAATCCCTTATCCCAAGAGTCCCGTGTGGGCATGTCTTACACCCTCACTTTTTAGGGACATGCCCTTTATGGCCACTTCCATTTCCCTTGCCTTTTAAAGGCTTCCGCCATTCACGTAGGGGCTTTACAGTTCCAGCTGAAGAGGTGGGCTGGGGACCCTGTGGCTCCCCTGCCTGGTAGCGCCACTTGTCCTTCTATCATTTTCCTTCGAGGAGCAGAGCTCCGACATGTATCTCTTGGAGACTGGACAGAAGCAGTATATCCAGAAAGTGCATGTTGTTTTTTAAAATCTTTTCCCTTGTTTGGTCTTAATGGCTCGGTAATAATATTAAAGTCTTTTAGAGGAGGAAGGGATATTGACGATTGTCTCATCCAGCTTAGCGGGTGAGATAACTGAGACATGGAGAGGGTAGATGCACTGTCCAGAGGCATCTCCCTGGGGGGAGGCCAATGTGGGATGCTGGTCCTGGACCCAGGGAAGGAGGTGCTTGGCCAAATGCCTGTGACTTTGAGGGTGAGTCATCCATTCTCTTGAATTGAGTCCTTGGGCTGGAGAGATCCGCCAGAAGTCAGCGTGTCCACCTTGCCTTCAGAGAGGTCCGCATATGGGCCCCTAGAGGGATGAGAATCCTTCTTATCTTTAGACAACAGGCTTCTCTCCAGTCCTCAGGCCCCACATCCTTCAAGGCCAGCCATTTTCCTTGGCCTCATCTACAGCCCTGGCCAAGCCCTTGGTGCTTATGGTCCTCTGTGTTGAGAGGCAGGCTCCTACAGCGTAGCGATGGGTCCCGTGGCCTCCAAAAGTCAACGGTGCTCATCTCTGCCGGGTTTAAAGCGGGGTGCTCTTGTTTCCATTCCTTGACTGAGCACCTGCAACACTCAGCTCTCGTCTTTGATCGGCAAGAAAAGCAGCAACGGGAACAGTCTGGTTATTGATTCTCCAGATACAAATGTTCTCTTAACGGTAAACTTTCATAACACACCCTTTCTGCAAGCTGCGCGTGCCCCACACTAACATGTGGTGTCTGAATAGACCACCAGATCAAGTTCGCCCTTGGGTAGGCGGATAGCCTTGGGCTCAGTTGCTTGGAGAAACTGAGTGATTTCTGAACAAGTTTGGTACCCAGGTTGGGGAGGGGGAGAGGTGGGTGGGCCGGTTGGCTTTTGGATCTTATATTGTTGGAACTACAAGGACCCTTCCCTATGAATTGAACCCATTGCTTCTTGACTTTTTAAAAGTTAGTTCCTCCTTTGAAAATCTGATGAAAGCTGCACTTATCTTTAGAAAAAAATACACATACATCACAAATGTATATATAATTTTGTGGGCCTGAGGACCACCGTGGACTTCAGGGCAAGGGTTCTGATCTAACCCATCTCCTTTACTTTATTACATACCCATTGCTGCCAAACACACTCGAGAGGTACCTGGGTTCTGTGCACGATTCCTTTGTAACCTGTGTCCTTTCTCTGGCCTGTATTATGCCCCCACGGGAAGTCCTGGCCATTAACAGACGGCTCCTGCCTTTGCAGAGCCTTCTCTGGCCCTCTGGACACACCTTGGTTCTTTAGAGCTTCTCTTTCCTGTAACAGCAGCACACACAACGGTGCCTTAGCTCCTGGGGCCTCGCCTGGGGTCTCAGCCACGGGAGGTTCCCCGTATTTGCAGAATGGGAGGGAAAGTGGGGAAAGGCAGGTGTCCCTAGGGTGCTGGATCTCCAAGCATCAGACCGGTTTAAGGGCCTCTGTCTGAGACTCTCTCCTGGTTTCGCCTGAGTCATGCTGGCTGTTAACTGGGTCTCAGAAAGTGGCAGGGTCGAGCTACCATAGATTATTCATTATCTGAGGGAAACAGGAAGGCCGGGAGGGGCAGATCCCTCCGCTTCTTATCCTCCAAGTACAAGAGTTCTCTCTCCCCACTCATGTCAGTAACTGAATTTAGCTCATGCATCAAAAGCCGCCTCCCCTTGGGGGAGAGTGGGCCAGCAGGGCAGGAAGGAGGGCTTACAGCACAGGGACGCCTTCCCAAACCAAATTGCATGTTTTCCTTCCTTGTCATTAAATCCACTGAACAGTTATTTTCTTTAAATTGGAAAATGCAGAGAATGGATGTACGGAAGAAGAAGAAAGATCACCCATAATCCCACAACTCCAGGGAAACCATTTTAGATATCATTCACATGTATATACATATGTACATATTTCCAGTATGGTTAGCTATTTTATCACCGGTTAAGATCATTCATAATGTAATTGTGTATGCTGATTTGTTTCGCTGACAGCAGGAGCATTTCTCATGTAAGTTTAAAAATCTTTGTAAGCATTCTTTTCGAGAGCCTCGTGCTATTTCGCTGTATGTATATGCAATTATTCACGGCTCCAGTCTACTTCTTTTGAATGTCTTAGGATGTTTCTGATTTTTCTGCTATTGCAGTATCACTCTGAATATCGTTGTGGGTAATATTTTTCCACACACTGACTGTTTTCTCAGAGATTCCCAGAAGCGAAGTCACTAGGCCAAAGGTTATGCAGCGTTGTGTCTGTTTATTTATTTTATTTACTTATTCTTTTACTTTCAATTTTGCTATTCAGAGTCCTATTGCTGAATTGCTCTCCAAGAGGGTAAGTTGGTATAACACCCCTCTCCCAGGCTGCACCGGGGTAGGAAGGTGCGCGGGGCGTAGATTCTCAGGGTGCCCTGGCCTCTCCGTCCTCCCCATCCCTGCTTCCTGCCTTGGACACCATGCTTCTCCCCTCCATCCCAGGCTGAGTCTGCGAGGGACCTTTCTCTCCAGAATAGAGACTGGCCTCTTCATTCCCAGCCCCGGGCCTTTGCCGCGGGAGTGCCCACCCACTTTCAGTTATATGTACTTGCCGCAGGGTTTATTCCTTTTCTCAGGAAGAACATGCAGAAAAGGGCATTCTTCTAACAACTAATTAATGGGCTATGATCTCTGCCTGAAATAACTTCTCTGGCCTACGGCCCGGCAACCCAGAGTAATAAAATAAACAATAAATTGGCCTGGTGGCTGCTCCCTCCAACACAGGCTGCCTGCTCGGAGTACAGTAGCTCTGTGTCCCTCGGGCCTGGCAGCCTTTCCCTGCCTCTGCTGTTTTTCTCCCTTCGCTCTTCCTTCCCCTGGCAGGCAGCCTCGAATCCCTCCTCCCTTGCCCCATCTGGCCCCCTGGTCACAGAGGTGAATAGCCGGCTGGTCCCAGGGCTGTGGAAAGCCCAGCGCTCTCAGGGGCCATAAGGGAGGCCAAATAGAGGATTGGGGGTCGGGGGTCAGGCCTAGGGCTCCCAGAGCCAAGCTGCCTGTGTCTGCACAGGGAGGTCTGGGCTGATCTCAAGGCTCAGGTGGCCCTTCTACAGCATGACTTGGACTCTGAAGTATGAGCACACAGTGGGAGCTGCTACTAGCTGACCCTTTCAACCTCTCCCTCTTCTTCAGGGGGAGGTTTGAATCCTCCTCAAAAGTGACTCAGCCTTTACCTGTGGCTGCTCCATCCTCACTGCCTAGGCCTCACCCCGTACATTACAGCATCACCATCCCACCCGCTTCCAGGTAGACCCACTGACCTCTGCCAGGTCTATCCCACCAGGCACAGTCCCTGCAACACCTCTGTCCTGTCCACCCTGAGCTCAGTGGACATCCTTTTCCTGTCAGGGCTCGGATCTGCTGGGCCCTAAGTGAGGCTGGATCCACCTGCCCCAGGTCCAGCTTAAGATCCGCCTTGGAAGTCAGGTGTGTGGAGGGCATCAGGCGGAGCACTGCCTGGGACGGAGAAGGACCCTGGAGAAGGGGCCCCCCCATCAGGATTGGCAACGAGGCAGACCGGGGTCAGCAAACTGTGGTTCGGGGGGAAAGGGGGCTCCTTGGCCCTTAGGGGGTTCGTAACAAAATACCGACTTCTGCTCATGGGCCACGAAGTTTCAATCACACTGTACGTGCGCCCGCACGTGGTATATTGTGGAAGAGCCACACTGAAGGGGCCAAAGAGCCGCATGTGGCTCGCGAGCCACAGTTTGCTGACCACGGGGCCAGACCATGGATAGAACACAGCCTGCTCAGCAGAACCTGGGCTCCAGCGGACACCAACAAGAGGCCTTGTTAGCAAGATCTATCCCTCCTCTTTCCTCACCTCTATCGTGTGAATCATAACAGCTGCCTCCGATGGTTACTCGGGCTTAGAAGGGGAAAGGACCAATGTAGCTCATTCCTTTGCAGGCACTCTGCTTGGGGCTTTATCATTCCCTCTCCTCTTTCTGGGTCTAGAAAGTGGATTCTCTAACCAGAGGCTTAGAGGCTGGCCCTCAGGAGGTGGGGAAAGCCCTTGTCGGCCCCTCCCACAGCCAGGATGAGGGGGCGGGAGGGGGGGTGTGCAGGAAGAGTTGGAAGAGGGGCCTGAGCCACAGTGCTGGGGAGTGGGCGGGGAAGGGGAGGGGAGCGGGAGGCTTGGCAGTGTGGCCACCTGTCTTTGTGCTGGGGTCACCTCATCCGGTGGCAAAGGCTGCTGTGCCCCAGGGACAGTGGTGGCTGCTCTGCTCTGAGGAGCACAGAGCTGACTCAGACCTCAACTGCACCATCAGGGGTCTCCCCCACCTACTCCCTCATTTTGTGTCTCTGGGGTGCTTTACAGTCTCCCTAAAACCCCTGAGGCTGACAGGGCAAGTATGATTGTTGGGAC